CGTGTGTGTTCTCGCCGGCTCTGGAAGGGGAGTGGGGGCTGGTGGGTTAGAGCAGGGGGCGCTGGGAGCCCGGACTCCTGGGTTCTCTCCCCGGCTCTGGAAGGGGAGTGGGGGCTGGTGGGTTAGAGCAGGGGGGCTGGGAGCCAGGACTCCTGGGTTCTCTCCCCGGCTCTGGGAGGGGAGTGGCGGCTGGTGGGGTAGAGCAGGGGGGGCTGGGAGCCAGGACTCCTGGGTTCTCTCCCCAGACACCCTCAGAGGGTTGAGGAGGGGAGCAAGAGTCAGCACTGGCCACACAAGCGGTTTCCTCGCCCTCTCATCCCCTGGGCCACTCCTTGTCCCAAGTGAGGCACAATCAGCCCCTCCAGCACAGCGACCCCAGGAAATCTTCCCGCCACAGGGTCCCCGCAGCGTGAGGGGCTGGGGGCGAGGTACCTGGTTGCCCTTGAGCACGGACACCTGCTTCTGCAGGGAGATGTTCTCCTCCTCCAGCTCGGCGCAGTCCTGCAGCTGCCGCAGCTCCCGACTCTTGTGCTGCTTCAGCTCCTCCCGCAGCTGGGCCCTCTCTGCGTCCAGGGCCTGGCACTCCTGGGCAAAGCGGCACCATTAGTGCCCCCGTGGGGCAGGAGGGGCTCACCCAGGATCCCTGGGGGAAAGAAGAGAGCCCAGGGACCCAAGCTATGGTACAGCCCACCACAGGGGCACCACGGGCCTCTACCAGGCACCGACCGCTTCTGGCTTTCCCGCTGCTCACTGGCAGAAGGGGTGAGTTTGGGGGGGTATGTGACAAAGTGGGGGATTGTCTTGTTTTTTCCTTGTTTTCCAATGGTTTGCACGCCGCGGGGGTGGGACTCGGTGTCCCTGGTTTAACAAGGGGAGAGGGAGTTCGTTGGGACACAGGACCAGCGAGGGAACTTGGGACCCCGGCCGACGGCCTGGAGAACGGAGACCCCAGCGACTGGTGACCCGGAGTCGCAGCCGGCTCTGGCCAGTGGGGGGACAATGGGCTGCGGGGAGAGGACCCCGGTGACCGGACCAGCCGGTTCCAGCCCGAGGGGCCAGAGGACAGAAGAGGGGAGAGGGGCCCAGGCGACCCTGTTTCCCTGGAGAGAAAACAATGGACAGAGGGGGGCTTGGGGCTGGGGGTATCAGATGCCCAGCTGGGGAGCAGGGGGGCTCGGGGCTGGAGAGGGGGAGCAGGCAGAGCCCCCCTGGATGCAGGGGAGACTGGGATGTGCTGGGCTGAGGGGGGCCAGGCCTGAGAGTTTCCTGTGCTGGAGTCAGACGCTCGATAACCCTCCTGTGCAACACTGGCTGAGAGTCCCTCCGGACTAGAGAACGGGGGGGGGGGGAGGAGAGAGATTATTCCCTGGGGCCCAGAGCGAGAGGA